TGCATTTCAATTAACAGGTGTGCCTTCTTAAAAGTTAATTTGTGGAATTTCTTTCCTTCTTAATGCGTTTCAGCCAATCAGTTGTGTTGTGACAAGATAGGGGTGGTATACAGAAGATAGCTCTATTTGGTAAAAGACCAAGTCCATATTATGGCAAGAACAGCTCAAATAAGCAACGAGAAACGACAGTCCATCATTACTTTAAGACATGAAGGTCAGTCAATACGGAACATTTCAAGAACTTTGAAAGTTTCTTCAAGTGCAGACGCAAAAACTGTCAAGGGCTGTGATGAAACTGGCACTCATGAGGACCGCCACAGGAATGGAAGACCCAGAGTTACCTCTGCCACAGAGGATAAGTTCATTAGAGTTACCAGCCTCAGAAATTGCAGCCCAAATAAATGCTTCACAGAGTTCAAGTCACAGACACATCTCAACATCAACTGTTCAGGGTGGACTGTGTGAATCAGGCCTTCATGGTCGAATTGCTGCAAAGAAACCACTACTAAAGGATACCAATAAGAAGAAGAGACCTGCTTGGGCCAAGAAACACGAGCAATGGACATTAGACCAGTGGAAATGTGTCCTTTGTTCTGGAGTTCAAATTGGAGATTTTTGGTTCCAACCGCTGTGTCTTTGTGAGACGCGGTGTGGGTGAACGCATGATCTCTGCATGTGTAGTTCCCACCGTAAAGCATGGAGGAGGAGGTGTTATGGTGAGGGAGTGCTTTGCTGGTGACACTGTCTGGGATTTATTTATAATTCAAGGCACACTTAACCACATTTCCCAACAGTCTTGAAGGAGTTCCCACATATGCTGAGCACTTGTTGGCTGCTTTTCCTTCACTCTGCGGTCCGACACATCCCAAACCATCTCAATTGGGTTGATGTCGGGGGATTGTGGAGGTCAGGTCATCTGATGCAGCACTCCCATCACTCTCCTTCTTGGTAAAATAGCCCTTACACAGCCTGGAGGTGTGTTGGGTCATTGTCCTGTTGAAAAACAAATTATAGTCCCACTAAGCCCAAACCAGATGGGATGGCGTATCGCTGCAGAATGCCGTGGTAGCCATGCTGGTTAAGTGTGCCTTGAATTCTAAATAAATCACAGACAGTGTCACCAGCGAAGCATCTCCACACCATAACACCTCATCCTCCATGCTTTACGATGGGAAATACACATGCGGAGATCATCCATTCACACACACCGTGTCTCACAAAGACACGGCGGTTGGAAACAAAAATCTCAAATTTGGACTCCAGACCAAAGGACACATTTTCACTGGTCTAATGTCCATTGCTCGTGTTTCTTGGCCCAAGCAGGTCTCTTCTTCTTATTGGTGTCCTTTAGTAGTGGTTTCTTTGCAGCAAATTGACCATGAAGGCCTGATTCAGGCAGTCTCCTCTGAACAGTTGATGTTGAGATGTGTCTGTTACTTGAACTCTGTGAAGCATTTATTTGGGCTGCAATGTCTGAGGCTGGTAACTCTAATGGACTTATCCTCTGCAGCAGAGGTAACTCTGGGTCTTCCATTCCTCTGGCGGTCCTCACGAGAGCCAGTTTAATCATAGCGCTTGATGGTTTTTGAGACTGCACTTGAAGAAACGTTCAAAGTTCTTGACATTTTCCGTATTGACTGACCTTCATGTCTTAAAGTAATGATGGACTGTCGTTTCTCTTTGCTTATTTGAGCTGTTTTTGCCATAATATGGACTTGGTCTTTTACCAAATAGGGCTATCTTCTGTATACCAACCCTACCTTGTCACAACACAACTGATTGACTCAAAAGCATTAAGAAGGAAAGAAATTCCACAAATTAACTTTTAAGAAGGCACATCTGTTAATTGAAGCTGGTTGAGAGAATGAAGCTGGTTGAGAGAATGCCAAGAGTGTGCAAAGCTGTCATCAAGGCAAAGGGTGGCTATTTGAATAATCTCAAATATATATATTTTATTTGTTTAACACTTTTTTGGTTACTACATGATTCCATATGTGTTATTCCATAGTTTTGATGTCTTCACTATTATTCTACAATGTAGAAAATAGTAAAAATAAAGAAAAACCCTTGAATGAGTAGTTGTGTCCAAACTTTTGACTGGTACTGTATCTTAAATAATACAAATGACACAGGTATAAGAGCAAGTGTTACCTAGTTGGTCAAAGGTCAATAAGTGGTGACAGGTAGTAGGCATGCTGCTGGCTTGATTCTTAATTAGCGTCTTGCCTCCGTCTGGCAGCTGTAGTGTCGTTGGTCGGGAGAAGGGAGGTTGAAGGGCGGGTGGGCTGTGTGAGGAAAACGGCACGTGAACGGCAGGAGCACGGCTGCCGCTTGATAAAGTGGCATTTCACGGGGCGCCTCCCGAGTGCTCATTGCTAACTGGGCCATTGGTAGGCCTACAATGTAAACCACTAGCTGGCGAGAGATACTTAAATTATCCCCAGTGCCACTTCATTACAGATAGGCAAACCATGCATGTAGCCTATGACAAAATACATGGATTTAGATTTAGGCTTACTCCTTTGACCAACTAGGTAACACTTGCTCTTATACCTGTGTAATTAATTACTACAGTAACAACATATATTTTATGCTCCGGAACATTGGCAACTATTAAGTATTTTTTAAACCTCCCGCTTTGGACTGGATGTTTCAATGTGTAGTTCATTCATGCATAATCTATGAGCAGAATAACTGTCTTACCTCAATTAGCCATGAAATCCCTAGTTTTTCTGGAAGCATTTTCCCTACTTTTTCTCCCACGTGGGCCAGCCCCCTAGCAATTAGATTTCTATCCAATGAGCTTCAGCCCCTTGCCATTTAAAGGACAGCTATCAAGATGCACACACAGCAGAGTGAAAGATAGAGCAGTGACATGTAGCACATGTATACATATATGTGACACAGTATGCAATTCTTGGTACCACTTTTGACTCGTGAGTGCTACTTTCAGAACTACTGGCTAAGAAGTATACAAAAGTACCGGATAATCTCTTTAATACACAGGTATAAGAGCAACTCATTGAATTCCAACAATTGGCTGACCTGATACGAACCTGACTTACTTTGGTCCAATAATACACTATATATAGAAAAGTATGTGGACACCCCTTCAAATGAGTGGATTCAGCTTTTTCAGCCACACCCGTTGCTGACAGGTGTATAAAATAGAGCACACAGCCATGCAATCTTCATAGACAAACATTGCCAGTAGAATGACCTTACTGAAGAGCTCAGTGACTTTCAACATGGCATCGTCATAGGATGCCAGCTTTCAAACAAGTCAGTTCATCAAAGTTCTGCCCTGCTAGAGCTGCCCCGATGAACTGTAAGTATTATTATTGTGAAGTGGAAACGTGTAGGAGTAACAATGGCTCAGCCGCTAAGTGGTTGGCCACACAAGCTCACAGAACGGGACCACCGAGTGCTGAAGCGCGTAGTGCGTATCAATCGCCTGTCCTCGGTTGCAACACTCCCACCGAGTTCCAAACTGCCTCTGGAAGCAACATCAGCACAAGAACTGTTTGTCGGGAGCTTCATGAAATGGGTTTCCATGGCCGAGCAGCCGCACACAAGCCTAAGATCACCATGCGCAGTGAAGGGAAATCTTAACACTACAGCATACAATGAAATAGCCGAATCCACTAATTTGAAGGGGTGTCAACATACTTTTTTATATATAGTGTGTCTGTCCTTCCTTGTGTACTCTAAAGTCCCATAGCTGGAATTACTTACGCCAACCAGTTGGAAAATCCTATTGGCTACTTTGCGTGACCTCACAAATGCTAGCCACACTACCTATGGCTATCATTTCATCTTAGTAGTCACCCACAGCCTGCCCTCGAACAAAGTCACATTACAACATTATTTTTTATTAGCTTTTATTGGAAAAGTAGGAAACTTGTAACTATCTCATACCATTCCATTGTTCCCAAAAAGCTTCTTTTTTTTGTGGCAAAACGTGACAGTGTTGGAGACACGGCAAGACTGATTAGTCAAAAGCCTTCCACAGACATGGCCTTTCTTTCTTTCACTAGTTAGTTAGCTATAGAGTGCTGAGCAGTGCTTTCAGTGCAGATCAGTAAAAAGCCAAGCAGAGTTACAGACCGAGGCGCGACCCCTGGGTCATAGAGGAATGGTCTTTGGGGGAGTGAACAAAAGGCTAGCACCAGGTTGTAAACTTGCAAAAAAGTTTGTGAAAAAAATAATTTAACTTTAAACATTACATTTATTTATAATATTGGGAGAGCCGACACAAATGTCACAAACTCACAATTAGTTATTTGGTGAAAGGTACACGGTAATCATGGCAAAACCCCCCAAAATGTAGCAATTTGCTCAGCACCTTTGAATGACTATCACACGATGAGTTTTTTTTTGAATAAAGAGTACTGAATACCCCATCAATATTAATTTGATGTTGATTCAGTGAAATTCAAATAAACAACTACTACAGATAAGTAGCCTGGAATCCAAAGTGAAATGAAACAATAGTGAAACAGAGTGTGCAATCAGTTGGGATCCCATGCTAACAGACAGAGAGACAGAAGAGGAAAACCTGAGAGGAATGCTTATTTTACATTTAAGGCAATAGTCTGGTAGATCATACTTAATGTAAGTATCCATCCTGTGATCTCATCTTTAATTTAAATACTCAAACATGCCACGTGGTGATGGTGAATAGCCTGGAATCCAAACCCAATATCTCTCTCTTTTGTGAAAGAGGGCGATATTCAGTTTTGAAACCAGGCTAGATGATTATACCATGTCATGGTGAAGTTCATGTTTTTTGGAGTACACAATGCTTTGTTTCTTAAAACACAGGACAAAATACACAAAAATATCATTCTGAATCATGCATAGTGAACAACAGGCACGAATGTTGGCACATTGATGATCAAATGGGAAAGTACTCTTGAGGTATGAGGTACAATGAATTTTCTCCCTCTCCTCTCTTTGCATAGAAAAATACAAAACACTTCACATAAGACTCCAAAGTGTTATAATTCATCTCTCATCTTCTTGCCCTTAGGCCGCACCAGTCTGCCGAGGAAGAGGATGGAGTTGGTCTTGGTGTCCTTCACCAGGAAGATGAAGGGATGGTCAGCGTAGAACAGCTTGGGGTTCTTGAGCTTGTCTGTACCGAAGATGCTTGTGTCTATGGGGTTCCCATCTGTGTCCCACTCCATGGCAGAGGCATGGAAGACATTGGACAGGTACAGGTCCTTCTTCCCAGAGATGTTGGACAGGTCCGCCTTGGTCTTATCCACAGCCTCAGTCAGACCCAGCTCCCCAAGGTGTTTCTGTGAGAGTGAGAGAAAGAGAGAGAGAGAGAGAGAGAGAGAGAGAGAGCGAGAGAAAGCGAGTGATCTTTATTGTAAACAAGTTTGAAGCTTGAAGGAACTCTCAGCCACCTAAGAGCATCAGTGATGTGTACTGTATACTAACATGTTATTCAAACTTGTGTCTCATAAACAGTTAACAGAATTATTGTTATTCAAACTTGTAGCTCATAAAATGTTAACAAAATGATTAATATATTCTGTTTTAACCAATGACCTGTGCCATGTCTAGGTATTTTCAGTACCTGGATGTTGTGGCTGACTTCCATGCAGACTTTGGGCAGAGACACAGCCACAGCCGTCTCCTTCAACTTGCCCATCCAGTCGTCCAGCTGCTTGCGGGTCAGCAGCTTCTCCAGTCTCTCCAGGGGCTCCACTTGGTAGGGCATGAAGAACACCAGGCTGGACTTTTTATGGGCCAGGGGCATGCTCAGGATGAACAGCTTATTCACTGTGTCCTCGTGGAAGCCATAGAGACCTGCAGATACAGCCAGTTTGAATACAGACTCAGAGACACTTTTAGGGCATTTCTGTACATCTTCCTTCACATTGAAATGAGAACACCCCAGTTCAGTTCAAATGTACTTTATGATATTATAATGAGGGCCATGTTGGCTGACCTGTGCGGTGCATCATGGGTACACCAACAGTGTGAGAGTGGGACACCAGGAAGCCACGGTTGTCCACCATCTTATGGTGGAACTGTTCATCCCAATGGGCTGTTCAGATATAAAGTAAAATACAATTACACTGTAAATTAGTAAATATCTGAATGAGTGAAAAAACTAAGCAAAAGAGAGAAGAGTACATCTATCAAATTCTGGTCCTTTGTAAGAGAGAACTCACGTTTGAAGAACATGGCGTTGATGATCATTGCCCCATCGGTCTTCTCCACATCCTTGGTGACCTCGGGCAGCTTGCCATTGGTGGACTTGGCCGCCCAATCGTTGATGGACTTCAAAGCACTCTTCTTGTTCTTGAAGTTTATCTTAGTGTGGTCATATTTGTAGTGCTTCTTGCTGCTCTTGACAAAGGCTTCTGCAACGTTGACTGAGCTGGGGCTGTATAGGCGGTTGTTGATCTTCCAGGTGACGTTACGGGCCTTGGAGTTGCTGACCTCCTCCAGGAGCTCGGCCAAGCCGGCGTGCAGCTGCTCGTCCTTCACTTTGTCTGCGCTCAGCACGATCTTGACCTGGGAGGTGGTGGAGGCCTTGCCCCCGAGTGCCACCAGGCCCAGGGAAGAGGCCACCACCACGGGAGAGATGAGGATGTTCTCCAGGTCCTTTTCCTTGGCCATGTTCTGGTAGAGGCTGAAGGCCAGGCTGGCGCTGTTGTCAGCCAGCAGGGTGGCGTGGTTGCTCAGGACCTTGTCTGCTGAGGCGGCGGTGGCAGCGGAGGCTGCAGTGGCCAATAAGACCATGGCTACCAGGTTAGTCACCCACATAGTGTCAGCAGAATCAATAGAGACTTGAGAGGGGACATGGAAAGGGTGTATGTGTTATGTTTTTTACAGTGGATTTCCTTATAGAGCATCATAGCAATTACAGAGCAACAGAGTCTCAAATTTCAGGTGTTAGAGGCAAATTAAATTAAATTTTCCCTGGATTTTGACTACAGAAAACCTCTTGTGAGACTTCCCTCCTTGCTCTTGCCAGTGATAGCATGAGTTAAGGAGATAACACAATTCTCAAACACTTTGCTGAGATTCAAGAGGAATACCACATTCTCCTTCATTCAACCTGGATGATGCAGAATGAACATGCTGTGTGGTATACTAAGCTTTCATTATGCAGTCTGTAATGTAATTATAGACCTGAATTCATTGGTAGAGAATCTGAGAGCAGGGTTGACCATGCCAATGGAGAGTCTCCAAGTAGACGTTCAAGGCAAGACTCAAGAGCCACGTCGACACTGCAGCTGTAGAACGCCTAGAAGCTAAAACAGTGGCCAACATTCTGAGTGGAATAATTATACAGCAACTAATGAGGGCCATTAGCTACTGAATGAAGAATACAAGTTCTCTTAAGAAGAAAAAGGGAAATTTAAATCAAGCTCTCGCTTCATCTGGGGGACCAATCACTTTTTATTTCTCTCTCTCTGCTCTGTGAAGGAGTGTTGCCCTGCAGGAGGCTTAGGGTAGCAGACAAGTAGCAACATGATCAGGCTAAGCCATGAAGTCTAAACAAAAGGATGCTATGCATCCTCTGAGGCCTGGAATGAGTGACCTTAAGCAGGCGTGAGGTTTCACATTTTTTAGTCTTAACAGAAAGTTTGATCTCTCAGCTTACTCAGGTTGTAATTTATTTACTGTAACAATGATGCCTTTAGAAGTCTTGTTGGAACTACAAATTATTTCAGTACATTCTACATTTGCATTACCTATCATATGTATTCTGCATGCATAATTACAAATCACAGCACAAGCTAACGCCTCATGTCCACCAGATGTATCAAACTCTTTGCGTTCAGGCGGAAATCATTCATTGTGAATAGAGCAGTCCACAATGCTCTGTGTACCACATGTGTTCAATATTTTAAACTTGTGCGTTGCTTTACCATGCGGTGGTACAAATGGAAGTACACACACAGACTCCAACTAGCGAGGTTTTAGCTAGTTGAAAAGCGAAGCACATGTGCGTCAAGTACGGAAAATGTGAGCTAGACATCCAGGCAAAACAAAATGCATATGCATCTGGTGGACATCGGGCGTAATTCAATGCCCTTCTAAGCCATAACTAAGAAACATCCTGGCACGTACAAATAAAGGCAAAGATGGTCTCATCTTATTGGACAGAAACCAGTGTGAGAAAAGGTTTAGAGGAGGAGGAATATGCTGGTTTACAGTTCCGTGCAATATCTGTCTGAACATATGTTTATAAATTACACAGCTCATTTCTTCTGCGTAATCTATCTGATGTTTTCTCTACACTCTACCACCACACAGTATGTGTTCGATTGACCAAGTAAAGCGAGATACCCCCTAGCAGAGGCAATTGTGACTCAGATCTGAGCACAATAGACTGTTGCTGGGTGGGACTGCTACTAATGAGATAGGTTTACTCAGACATGGCACAGGTCAAAGCAGCATTGCCACTGTTAATTGACCATAACTTTTATTTGATCATCACAGCATTTTCACTGTTATGTGATCCATTCATTAAGTGTAAACAGTGAAGTTGGGAGGAAGAAGTATGTTTTAGCCTGGCAACTTTTTCCTTTCAACTGGCCTACACATGCTCAATCACATGAAGCTGTATTGTAATACAGAACTACATTCGCTAAAGGAATTTTATAAGCCCAAAATGGAGGGACTTTTCATATTCCTGGTCAGAAGTTTTCCTGCATTTAACACATTCCAGTGAATCCCCCTCTCTCTCTCCCATCGCATCCCCCTTTAACTTACCAGGCTCTTTCAGCAGTTTTCCTCTAATTTCTCTCTCAGTTTACACACAGTCCTTCAGCTGGTCTATAAACCTTGGGGTAAAAATTCTGGAAGTTGGGGAATGGAAAATGTTAATGATGTACAGTGGTTTCCAATGCACTATGAGCTGCACTGGGCCCTCCCACAGTATCTGTGGAGCAGCTATGTGAGCGGGACTTTCCCCCTCCAGGTCCTAAAGCCTGAGACACACTGAATGCTCATTCACACTGCAGACAGACCTCTGGCAGAGTTTCTATAAGGTTCATAGTTCTGTATTCTCAAATGATGCTACTGTAATATACTGTGTGTATTACAGATCGAGTGTATAGCAGGTGTATCGCTGGGGGACACAAGTGTATAGCCGGCTGGGTACATTAAAGTCGGACACAGATGGCAAACAACATAAAATTAATAATAGTGCCATCTGGCGGATGGTTGGGTTACCTACTGCAAACAGAGTTGCAGGGAAGTTTTCTAAGTAGGTCATTGAAAATCTCAAATTCCATGAGGCCTAAGAATAATAATAATTGTTAGGGGGTAGAAAGTACTTTGGTGTTATAATTGTTATGATTCGTAAAGTTTGCTTGCTAGTTGTGAAGGTTTTACTGCCCGCTTCTTCCTCCTCCTCCCCCTTCCTAGTGCCACGTCTGTGGCTGTGTCTGTCTGATTTGAGAGACTAATAGTGTGGGATGCAGGATGGGGGGTGTGTCCATTCAAGCCCCCCTGCCTGGCCTGCCTAGCCATGCCAAATTGTTAAATTATCCCCTGGTGTCTAACTGACTCACTTTTCCCCAAAATGAACAAAAAAAATGTTTCATTGTGGACATGCATGCAGTATATCTGATTATTCCCTGTCTAAAAATCAATTTAGGCACTCTAAAACATGGAGTGTTTCTACTGAACAGCAATAAAGTTTAGGAAATCACTCAACATGCCACAGTAGCCCAGTGTTTGGTGCCAAGGAATTTGTGACATCATGTTAAAAATTAGGTCACATTACATTGGCTATGCCTCAGCACTGCTAGAGTGAAAAGGCTATGCATAAGAAGCATGTTCTGTTGATGCTTAGATTAATGAACAATTTACATAAAACCAACATTGGTCTGAGTATGAAAGAAGTAACCCCACACACCCACACCACATCTCCAACCTCAACATGAAAAAGCATAGCACTTGGATTACATAGCAAAAATTCCTCAACTGGCTCTTTGTCTCAGGATAATGGGTTGGCCTGATATACTGCCTGAGGGCAGCATTGGTTTGGTTTTGCATGCATATAAGGCTAGGCAACTTCAATTAACTCTGCTGCTAAGGCTTGCAGCTCAGCTAGCCAAAAGATGGGCCTTTGAACATCTGTACAGTTCAGATATATTTATATTAAACTCAAACTCACTGTCACTGATTAACGGCAGATACAGATTATTTGATCACCCTGTTGTTGCAGGAAATGTCCTGCACAGCCGGAAATGCACATTTGTAGTGTATTCAAGGCTTCTAAAGTGTTGCCCTAACTAAACATTTATCAACCCCTATATAAATGCCCATTAATTATAATCCACACAATAATTATAATTTCTTGTTGCTGCAGGCTTATTTTCCTGCTGTGAGAAATTGATCCATCCTACATCTGTAGGAGAGACATAATGGTAAAACTGATGGAACAGACCCTCTTTAGATACTTTAATGGTTTTTAACATATTGTGCCTTTTCTGCATATTTCTACAAATGTTTACAGACCAATCAATTTATGGTTTAATTGTGGTAAGGCTGTGCACAGTATATAAAGGGCTGTATAGTGCAGTCTCCAACTAAGATCTTATAGGCAATGCGAAACACAATGTTCTCTGTCATTACTAGATTACTGTATTGCAGAGCAGGCTGCTGAGGGTAGAACGGCTCATAATAATGGCCAGAACGAAGCAAATGGAAGGGCAAACACACGGAAACCATGTGTTTTATGTATTTGACACCATTCCACTTATTCTGCTCCAGCCATTACCACAAGCCTGTTCTCCCCAATTAAGGTGCCACCAACCTCTTGTGCTGTATTGTATTTAATACCTTCACTGAGGACTTAATAGCTCACTTTGGTTACTGCCTGCACAATACTGCATGTCAAGATGACAACAATAACAATAGCAACAATGGCAGCAAACCTTGACTTTTCTCTCAAACCCGAGCTCTCTGTAAGAGGAAGCAGTGTCACAGAGGGTTTCTTCCATTAGATATTGAATTTTGCCTGATATTCTCATGATGTAAGACCTCAGTAATGTTGCCCTTGCATGCTGATGCAACCTTCAGCTGTTTAACTCGACTATGGCCAAACCCACTCAAAGATGTGATTTACTGTATAAACTCTGGTACAGTAGTTTAGTGCCTGTCTGGAAGGACTGGAAGTGTGCAGAGATATACTGATGCAGTTTATTCTGATCCCATTTATGCAGTGTTCTTAAATTTTGTCCCTGAAGACCCACTGCCGGGTGAGCAGGCTTTTGTTTCAGCCCCATACTAAAGAATCTGATTCAATTAATCAAGGGGTACGTTGATATCAGGTGTGTTACTGCTGGGCTAGAGCAAAATCCTGCACACACTGTGGAGGCCCTCAAGTGAGCAAAGTGAGCTACAGAAGGCAATAGCATCATCTGGTGGATTAGAGCAGGGATCAGGGACTGTAATAGAGAGAGGAGATGAGGATGATTCACCACCAGGGACTACGAAGTGCTAGGGAATATTCAGCCATGAGCTCTGTTGCACAATTATTTTATTTTTTAATCTCCACTTGATTATAGCATTTAGATATCTTTTTTTTTCTTCTCCAATGACAGTCACACAATTTCAACCATTGTTTTATAAATGTAAGTGTTTATTATAGACTTAGAAACTATCTATACATTTAAAAGTAACAGCAATTAACAGTAACAGTTTATAAACTCCTTATAAACCACCTTATAAATCCTTGCAGTTCATCTTCAGCAGAGTGCTCTGAGACAGACACAGACACACAGAGTCTCTGGTCACCTACTGTACAGTATGCTGAACTAAAT